GACAGAAGGTCGAAAGACAGAAGGTCGAAAGACAGAAGGTCGAAAGACAGAAGGTCGAAAGACAGAAGGTCGAAAGACAGAAGGTCGAAAGACAGAAGGTCGAAAGACAGAAGGTCGAAAGACAGAAGGTCGAAATACAGAAGGTCGAAATACAGAAGGTCGAAAGACAGAAGGTCGAAAGACAGAAGGTCGAAAGACAGAAGGTTGAAAGACAGAAGGTCGAAAGACAGAAGGTCAAAAGACAGAAGGTTGAAAGACAGAAGGTCGAAAGACAGAAGCTCGAAAGACAGACGGTCGAAAGACAGAAGGTCGAAAGACAGAAGGTCGAAGAACAGAAGGTTGAAAGACAGAAGGTCAAAAGACAGAAGGTTGAAAGACAGAAGGTCGAAAGACAGAAGCTCGAAAGACAGAAGGTCGAAAGACAGAAGGTCAAACAACAGAATGTCGAAAGACAGAAGGTCCAAAGACAAAATATTGAAAGACAGAAGGTTGAAATACAGAAGGTCGAAAGACAGAAGGTCAAACAACAGAATGTCGAAAGACAGAAGGTCCAAAGACAAAATATTGAAAGACAGAAGGTCCAAAGACAAAATATTGAAAGACAGAAGGTCGAAAGATATAAGGTCGAAAACAGAAGGTGAAAAGACAGAAGGTCGAAAGACAGAAGGTCGAAAGACAGAAGGTCGAAAGACAGAAAGTCGAAAGACAGAAGGTCGAAAGACAGAAGGTCGAAAGACAGAAGGTCCAAAGACAGAAGGTCGAAAGACAGAAGGTGAAAATACAGAAGGTCAAAAGACAGAAGGTCGAAAGACAGAAGGTCGAAAGACAGAAGGTCGAAAGACAGAAGGTCGAAAGACAGAAGGTCGAAAGACAGAAGGTGGAAAGACAGAAGGTCGAAAGACAGAAGGTCGAAAGACAGAAGGTCGAAAGACAGAAAGTCGAAAGACAGAAAGTCGAAAGACAGAAGGTCGAAAGACAGAAGGTCGAAAGACAGAAGGTCGAAAGACAGAAGGTCGAAAGACAGAAGGTCGAAAGACAGAAGGTCGAAAGACAGAAGGTCGAAAGACAGAAGGTCGAAAGACAGAAGGTCGAAAGACAGAAGGTCGAAAGACAGAAGGTCGAAAGACAGAAGGTCGAAAGACAGAAGGTCGAAAGACAGAAGGTCGAAAGACAGAAGGTCGAAAGACAGAAGGTCGAAAGACAGAAGGTCGAAAGACAGAAGGTCGAAAGACAGAAGGTCGAAAGACAGAAGGTCGAAAGACAGAAGGTCGAAAGACAGAAGGTCGAAAGACAGAAGGTCGAAAGACAGAAGGTCGAAAGACAGAATGTCGAAAGACAGAAGGTTGAAAAACAGAAGGTCGAAAGACAGAAGGTCGAAAGACAGAAGGTCGAAGAACAGAAGGTTGAAAGACAGAAGGTCAAAAGACAGAAGGTCGAAAGACAGAAGCTCGAAAGACAGAAGCTCGAAAGACAGAAGGTCGAAAGACAGAAAGTCGAAAGACAGAAGGTTGAAAGACAGAAGGTCGAAAGTCCGGAGAACTTGCTGAACAACTCTAGAGAACTTTGCGAAGAAGTCCGGAGAACTTGCTGAACAAGCCCGGAAAACTTGCTAAACAATTTTGAAGAACTTACCAAACAAGAACTTGCCGAAAAAGTCCACAGAAATTGCTGAACAACTCTGGAGAACTTGCCGATCAAGTTTGGAAAAATTTCCAAACAATTCCTGAGAACTAGCTGAAAAACTCTGGAGATCTTACTGAACAAACCCGAAGCACTTACTGGACAAGTCCGGAGAACTTGCTAAACAAATTCGGAGAACTTCCTGAACAAGCTCGAAGAACTTACCGAACAAGTCCAGAGAACTTACTGAGTGAATCCGGAGAACTTGCTGAATAAGTCCGGAGAACTTGTTGAACAAGTCCGGAGAACTTGCTGAAAATGTTCAGAGATCTTACTGAACAAGCCCGAAACTTACTGGACAAGTCCGGAAAACTTGCTGAACAAATCCGGAGAACGTGCTGAACAAGTCTAGTGAACTTGATGAAAAAATCTGGAGATCTTCCTGAAGAAGCTCGAAGAACTTACCGAACAAGACCGGAGAACTTGCTGAACAAGTCTAGAGGACTTACTGAGTAAATCCGGAGAACTTTCTGAAAAAGTTCAGAGATCGTGCTGAACAAGTCCAGAAGACTTGCTGAAAACGTCCGGAGAAATTGTAATATGAGATGAGTCCGGAGAACTTGCTGAACATGTCCGAAGAACTTGCTGAACAACTCTGGAGAACTTGCTTAACAAGTTCGGAAAAAAATGCCGAAACAGTCCGGAGAACGTGCTGAACAAGTCCGGAGAACTTTCTGAACAAGCTCGAAGAACTTACCGATCAAGTCCGGAGAACTAGCTGAAAAACTCCGGAGAACGTGCTGAACAAGTCCGGAGAACTTGCTGAATAAGTCCAGAGAATTTTCTGAACAAGTTCGACGAACTTACCGAACAAGTTCGGAGAACTTGCCAAAAAAGTCCGCAGAACTTGCTGAACAACTCTGGAGAACTTGCCAAACAAGTTCGGAAAAATTGCCGAAAAAACCCGGAGAACTAGCTAAACAACTCTGGAGAACTTTCTGAACAAGTTCGGAGAACTTGTTGAACAAGTCCGGAGAACTTGCTGAAAATGTTCAAAGATCTTGCTGAACAAACCTGAAGCACTTACTGAACAAGTCCGGAGATCTTGCTGGACCAGTTCAGAGAACTTACTGATTGAATCCGGAGAACTTGCTGAAAAAGTTCAGAGAACATGCAGAACAAGTCCGAAGAACTTACTAAACAAGTGCGAAGAGCTTTGCGAACAAGTCCAAAAAAATTGCTGAACATGTCCGGAGAACTTGCTGAACAAGTCTAGAGGACTTGCGAGATAAGTCTAGAGGGCTCGCGGGCAAAGTCTAGAGGACTTGCGGGACAATAAACTTGGGGGCCTCCCTTAGCTCAGGCGGTAAAAGGCGCAGCTACAAAGCAAGACCATGCTGGAGGTGGCTGGGTTCAATTCCCGGTCCAGTCTAGGAATTTTTCGGGTTGGAAAATTTCTTGACTTCCCGGGGCATAGAAGTATGATTGGACTTGCCACACAATTATACCAATGCAAAAATGGTACAGGCATCGAAAGCTCTCAATTAATAACTGTGGAAGTGCATCTAGAACACTAAGTTGAGAGCACGCTATAAGCTAATATGCGATATGCAATAAGCTTGGAATACGAAGAAGAAGAAGAAGAAGGGACAATGAACTTGTGGAACATGTTCAGCGTGTTTGCGAAATACGTCCAGTGAACTTATAGCACAAGACCAAAGGTTTTCCTCTGTGGATTTGACCCGCAAGTCGCCTGAACTTGTTTCACAAGATCTCTGGACTTGTTCCGCAATTCCTCTGGACTTGTCTTGCTAGTCCTCTGGTCTTGTCGTGCAAGTCCTCTGAAATTGTCTTTCAAGTCCTCTGGACTTGTCTTGCACACTGAACTTTAACTTGTCTTGCAAGTCCTCTGGATTTGTCCTGCAATTCCTTTGGACTTGTCTCGCAAGTCTTCTTGACTTGTCTCGCAAGTCTTCTTGACTTGTCTCGCAAGTCTTCTTGACTTGTCTCGCAAGTCTTCTTGACTTGTCTCGCAAGTCTTCTTGACTGGTCTCGCAAGTCTTCTTGATTTGTCTCGCAAGTCTTCTTGACTTGTCTCGCAAGTCTTCTCAACCTATCTCGCAAGTCTATAAGACTTGTCCCTTCAAGTAAGTCTTCCAGACACGTGTTGCTCCTGAACTAGACTCTAAAGAGCTTCTACAGTACTCTGGACTTACCTGCAGCTCCCACTGGGTTTATTGGTGATGCCCTACCTCGAGATTTTTGGCTTTCTTCAAAAGGGCATTCTTGCCCTGTAGTTCACTGGAAAAGCTATTGGAGTCCTCAGTCGTTGATATCCTTAGAACTTGTGCCGCAAAATATTCAGGATTTATCTGAAATGAATGTGGCAAAAATATAAATGACACCTTAAGAATTCACACCTTGTACTTAAAATGGTCATAATTGAGCAATTAACCTGCTTGCCCAGGAGCAATAAACTATTGGTCCTGAGCAAGCAGTTAATTGGTAATTTCATATTAAACTACGAGAGTTTTCTCTTCTTCTAGCGAACATTTATTAGGCTGCCAAACCGTGTAGACTCGTCAAGGAACGCATTGAGATTTTCAACGGTAATCTCAAACCGCTCTAGTAAACGTCAAATGTTCGACCTCAGCTCTTCTAACCCATTCAGTCACTAATGTGTGAGTGCTGTGCTTTCTAAGCAAATCCACCCTCTGCCAACCCACCCATTTGATAAACATTTACACCCGACGCATGTATTGGTACCATCAACCCACATTACTTTCCCATTGATGCATTGATCAGTGGATTCTACTCCACGCATTCTGTCACACGGGATGAAAAATCGAGTTTTCCAACCACTCGCAGAAGCAGAAAAAACACTAGCAATCCCACCTGCGCCGAATCGCTCTCCTTCCGATCTCTGCTTCCTTCGCTTCAAGTGACGAGCGACCAAAACAGAGAGCGTGAAGCGTGAAAAGCTCTCTACCGATCGCCCGCCCGCCCCCTTACAGCGATGCAATCTAGCAATCCGAATGCGAATGAGAGAGAAACGACGAAGGAGAAAGTTGTAACGCACGCGGCAAGCGCCACATTCCAATGCACCCGAGTTGCATGCCGAAAATTTACGAACGAAAACATCCCCTTTCCGCTTTCCGTTCTTGAGTGAGAGAGTGAGTGGTCCGGTGGGTGGACCACTCACCTAGAACAGGGGGAGGAAAGCTTTCTCCGCTCTGCTGATTGATTATGTCCGACTGCGAGCGGAGGCTGATGGCGTGTGAAGTGAAGCTGCTGTGGATGATGAAGCTCAGGCCGCGAGAGATCCGTTCGACCGAGTTTAAGTCGGAGGACCGAGTGCAGTTGAGCTTTGTAACCCGATGTAGAACGACGTCTCCGGTTGATGTACTGCAGGACTGCGAAACGGGTCGGTCGGTTTACAGTCAGTCAGCCAGTCAGTCAGTTAGTCCCCGGGAAGTGCTTGAGAAGTTGTCTGATTCTTTGTTCGAAATTGTCCGAGGGAATTGTGAAATTTGTGACAAGTGATCCGCTGGAGAAAAAAATAAATAATTGGAGAACAGATTTACCGCATTGGGAAAAAAATTCGGCTGAGAAGAACAAGAAGAGCAACAACCGAGGATTCGTTCTGAAGTGGATGGAGGAAGAGGTTTTGTGAGAGTGCAAAGTTTTGAAAATTCCGTGGAACTGTGGTGGAAAATGGCAAATTTGATGATTTACAAAGTGGTCAAGTGTCGACTAAAAGCGATTTCCGAGCGGAAGATGGTTTGCGAAGAACCGAAGAGAGGATAAAGCTAGCGAAAGTTCCCGGATGATTCTGTGTGCGGAAAATTTAAGGGTTCTGGGCTCCAGCTAGAGAAAGGATTACGTGACAGCAATAGACTTGCTTTGCAGTAAATGTTCCTAGAAAAAGACGTGAAAATTATTTGGCATAAATCTAATCTTAAAGGTGATTATCGTGTTTGCAATCCTTGCTGGATACAAATAAAAAAAAAAACGGGGAAGAGAGGAATCTGAAAATTTCATAATCTTCGTCCTGAGGAAACATTGGAAATGGGAAACCAATACATTCGCACAAACGTGGAAATTGAGGAATTCCGAGGAAAACATATATTTATTAAAGAAAAAAAAAAGTAAATGTACCAGAGGAAAACTGTTCCCTAAATTTTTCACTAAAATTCAAAGGAGGAAAAGAGACGGAGCAAACCATCCAGTCAATATTCAAGGATATTACTTCACTGCCGGAGGAGGGCAACAGTAAAAGGCATGGAAAGTCGCGTGAGAAAAAAAAAACGCGAAAAACTGGTCGTTTCTTGTCAAGGATTTTTGTATCGATTTCTGGTGGCTCTGAATAAGAATGAGAATGAAAATTTCATGTGTCACACCGATGTGTGAGTGTTGGGGGGCCGCGTGAGTGACTGGCCGACTGAGCTTTCGTGCGTTCCCGCTCGGGAGTAGTCAGGGATCTCACTCATACCAACGAACGGACACGACGACGACGACGACGACGATCTGCTAGTACTATTACTATTACACTATACTACTCTGTTTTCATTGTGGCGATACTATCGGAAAATGTTCTGACGCTACGATGGCCCTACATTACACTGCTACTGCTGCTGTCAATCCCCCTGTTGTGGATTACTGATTCATAGGAAAATAAAAAAAAAAAAACAAAAAAAAAACGCTGAGAGAGCGCAGAGGAAACTGTCTGTCAAGGGAGTTGATGGAATGATTGACTTGGAAAATTAGTTTTTAGATGAATAAGAACATTTCTTTGCGCCGTTCTTTGATGCAAAATGTGATGTTTGGAAAGTTCTCAATTCTCCATTCTTCTCATGTTTGCTTGCTGTCCCGGAGGATTAGTTTTCAATTGTATGTATCAAAATCGAAGTTTTTCGTTGAATCGATTTGAGTCCCGTTAAGAGGCGATTGAATCATGTTGGAATTTATAGAGACTCACTTCCTTACTTTTCATGTATAGGATCGAATGAATTGTGCAAGTTATGCTATTGTAGATACGACTTAAAATCAAAGCGTCAAATCTCGCTGGCAGCACTGCATTGGGCTCACTTTGTCGCAAATATTAGCTTTCACTTCGGAAGTCGCTTTGATGCCAAAATAATTGTAATTTACTATTTATTTATTTATTTATTTATTTATTGACTTATAATTTGTAACTTAAGACTTATGTCTTTCTTCTGTTACATCGATTATATCAAAGTATAACAAGCGCCACAAGTATATTACAAAACAAAAAAAAATGATACGTAACACAAACTGAACTACATTTACTACTCAACTAAAATGCTCAATACATCCTCTCTTAAATGCTGTTAACGAATTTACATTAGTTAGACTATTGGGTAAAGAATTCCAGTGAACCACACCTCGCACGAAAAATGAGTTCCCGTACTTTGACGTGCGATGTCTTGGCAAAATATATTTAATGGACCGATTGCTTTGTGAAACTTGCAATTTTCTGTGTAGATAACCGGGTTGTTTTGTTCTCGACAGACTATGCAAAAATAAACAACAGCGTAGCTTGCCAAAGTTTACCAAAGGGCATCCTATAAGATGATGTTGCAAGTGAGAAACTCTAGAATATCTACTTAATTTAAAAACATATCGAACACATGAATTAAGAGCCACCTTAAGTTTATTGAACGTACCAGCAGATACATCATCGAGGAGAAAATCACATGCCAAAAAATAAGGAAGAAGGAGGCTTTTGAATAGTTTAACTTTAACATCAGTTCTAAGAAATGATGATGTTATGTGAAGTGAACGTAAACAAGCATACATTTTTCCACATTGTGACAACACATATTTATCCCATCCAAAATTGGATTGAATACGGTTACCCAAGCTGGTAGCATTATCGACGTATTCAATTGTTTCATTGTCTAAAAGCAATGAAGGTTTTAATATATTTTAAAAAGAACTATTTGTAATAAAAATTGCGTTTGTTTTCTTGGAGTTCAAGCTAAGCATATTCTTTACAGGATTCTCTTCAAGTCTTCATTAATTTTCTGAGAAATTTCAGCAACAGAATTACTTGCACAGTCAAAGTATACCTGAGCATCATCGGCAAACAGATGAAATTTACAATTCTTTATTACTTCAGGGAGATCATTAATGTACAATGAGAATAAGATTGGCCCCAGAATAGAACCCTGGGAAACCACAGATGTTATGGAAATAAATTGAGAAAAAAAAAACATTATTAAATACAGCCTGTGTTCGCATACTTAAATAAGAATTAATCAAGTTTGCGGAATGATCGGAAAAACCAAAAATTTGATCTGAGTTTTTGACATAAAATTCTATGCGACACAGTATCAAACGCTTTAGAAAAATCTAATAGTATTAGAACAACCGGGCGACCCTTGTCTACTACTATTCCTATATCATCAATTATTTTGAGCATAGCTGTTTTAGTACTATGTTTCGAACGATAACCTGACTGAAATTGATGCAGAAGATTGTGTCTATTGATGTGATCGCAAATGTTTATCTTAACAATTTTTTCAAATACTTTTGATAATGCACAAAGGATGCTTAATAGGTCGCAAGTTTTCTAAAGTGTTCAAATTAGCATTTTTCTTAATTGGTATAATTTTTGATTTCTTCCAAGCATCTGGAAATACACTTATAGTTACAACAGTGTTAAATAAGTGTTTTATAGGCTCAATTAATAGAGGACAAATAGCCTTTAAGAATTTCATTGATAGCATGTCGACTCCAAGAGCATTTGATTTGATGGAGTACATGGCATTTATGACATCTACTTGGTTTATTCTATCAAAATAGAAAACATCGTGGTTAAACCCGTTTGAACCCGTAGAACTAAAACTTCGAATATTATTGTTGGAAAAATAATTGTTAAAGTTACGGTTTATTTCATCAGCCGTAAAGCTGTTCGATGATTGTTCATTTGCTTGACCGAATCCAAGTGCCCTGAGATTTTTCCACAATTCCTAAGGAGAAACCTTCGGATCAAGACGATAAGCAAAATAATTTTGTTTTGCTGTGCGTATCATCTTATTTACGTGGTTTCGTGCTCTTTTAAACTCATGATGATCAACCACGTTGTTACTTAATTTCGATTGTTTGTATAATAAGTCACGATTAAGGATGGCCCTACATATTCTAGAATTGAACCAAGGATTATCCTTTTTATTACTAATAGTAGTTCGGATTGGAACGAAAGTGTTGTGGAGATCTGTCAAAACATTGTTAAAAAATTCTAACTGCAGGTTGGAGTCATCAACGTGATAAAAAGAGCTCCAATCAACCGAGTTAAAAGCTTCCACCAATGAATCAACTTGAATAGCATTGTAGTCACGATATTCGATTTTCTTTGAAGTATGCATGACACTGAAATCAAGGGATGCAAAAATTAAGTCATGGTTGGATAATACAGGTACTTCAATTTGGTTAAATCTCAACACTTTTGACGAATCATTAGCAATAATTAAATCCAATTGCGACGCTCCACTTCTATGAAAGAATGTTGGCTCGTTACCCAATGAATATAGAGAGTGAGTGGTGAGCAGGTTACAAAGCCTGGCAGACTTTCCTGAATGATTGGTCAACAAGTTCGTGTTGAAATCACCCATAAAGAAAACATTTTTATAGGCAAAACCATAAGACGACAGTAAATTATCCATTGTATCCGAGCAGTCAATTTCAGGAGGGTTGTAGCATGCAGTCATTAGAAGTTTTTCATTTTGTACGATAACTTCGACAGTAATAAATTCTGTGCAGGTTACTCCTGTCTGGTTATTTGACTTGGTTATAATATTGAAGGCAATGCCATTTTTTATGTATAGTAGTACACCACCTCCCAGCCGTCCTACACGATCATGTCTAACTATATTATAGCCATTGATATTTTTTGCATTTAAATGATCTTTATTTCTTGTGATTGTGTGGTTTACATGTATGAATTTGTTAAGTGACACAGATTCGTCTTTTCAACTTTGGTACATTTGATATTTTAATTATTATTTACAGTTCCTAGTCCTATCAGGCCTATTTTAAAGTATGACCACCTTGGTGGGATTGGTTTGATTTGAATTGGAAAAAGGAGACTACTTATAACTACTATTTACAACTACAACCAACCTGCAACTACTATGTACACCTAACCTACTATATACAAATTGCTTATCAAAGCATGTTCTGATAAATTACATTTTTGTGCAAATTGAGTCTTAATTTCGTTAATTTTGGAATCTATTTTGGCAATGCCTGCCTCTTCATGTAAATTTGTTATTCTAGTGTCGAAAGGACGATCAAGAACCATCCTCAGCACTCTATTCTGAGCGACCTGGATTTTGTTCCTGTGAGTCTGTGCACATGATTCCCACACCGGAGCTGCGTAGAGGATCGCAGGTGCTATTATTTGTTTGTAGACGGCCAGGATCTGCGGCAAATCAGCGGATACAGACACCTAACCAAGGCGGAACACTTGACTACGGTTTTCTCCACATGCGAGCGGAATAGGAGCTTTTCGTCAAACAACATCCCGAGATAGGTTACTTCGGCGGACCACTCAACCCTTGTGCCATCCATGATTACAGTACAAGAGGGAGCCGGTTTTAGTTTGGGTGATTGCCGATGGAGGAACATGATTGTTTGTGTTTTGGAAGCATTGATTTTGATTTTCCACGTGGTGGCATAATCAGCAAAAGCGTTAAGGCATCGTTGAAGTTTGTTCGTTATTTCGCGAGGCATCCTTCCTTTGACGGCTATTGCGGTATCATCTGCGAACAGGAAGAACACGCAACCGTCTCCAAGGGGAGGAATGTCGGAAGTGTAAATGCTGTAAAGCAAGGGGCCCAGCAGACTGCCTTGCGGGACTCCTGCTGGGATGGAAAACGTGTCGGAAAGACAACCATTCAACGATACCTTAAACGACCTTTGCTGGAGGTAGCTACGGGT